AATCTCTACATTATAATACCTTCAGGAAATGGGAAGTGGGGATTATTAGTTTAAAATTATTGACATTATAGTTATTTAAGAAATAATTTTGTCACTGCCTAACGTGTAGGTATATAAATTGCAGTCCATTTCTTTCGGTACTCAAAAAAGTACTCGATTTAAAAATACTTTTCCAAAATCAATTAAAGTTATTAGCAAATTAAAAATATATTCCTTTGTTTACAACTTCCAACGTTCTAAACACACAGACATGTTCTCAGGTGGGCTACCACATTTTATTTTATGCATTTCGAACTCCTCCGAACGGATACTCTATTGTATTATATTAGGTGCACATTAATCTGGGAGAATTGACGATATTGCTATTAATTACCTTCAGGTGACACATTTTACTTAAGAGTGAATACGACAATAATGACCTATTATAGTACGAATTACATTTATGAAATACATTTATATTGATTAAATCGATTTGTTACAGTTGTTCTACCACAGGAGTATTCTATAAGATAAATAGCCATCGATTTTAAATGTAAATATTATATTGTTTGCTATTTTGGTATCATATCAAAAATTCCATCCGTTATGCGGAAAGCAGACATGTTTATAAATAGAAAATTATTTTCATTATTGAAACATTCATGTAATACTATCGCGAATACAATGGAACTTGAAGTTTATTATGGAAGAAATAAAGTTCATTTTACATTTTAGAGCGTTGGTATGATAACGCACTAGTATTGCAGAAATACCGACTTTCACCACTGTGTGTATTGGTAAATGAGGCCCTGCGGATATTAGGCCGGTGTCATATACATCCTAGTGATAGCGATTGGAATGATAGTGCGGGGCGGGCGTCACTGACCGGGTATTCGTTGGGCGTGTCCTTGTTCATATCGTTATCGGCGGCGGGCTCGTTGACCGCGTACGGTGAAGGCATGGTGTCACTCGTCTAAGGTGGTCCGGCGGCCGCTTGCATCACCTCCTCGAACGCTTGCTCGAGACAATGCTTCAATTCCGCGTACGACACGACAAGGACGCTCTGCTCGTCGCGCGACATCAACTCCACCTGTCGGTTGTTCTCGTGAAACTGTCACGGATGACGGTATATCGATGACAAATCGTGCACGAGATACAGTCTTGACGACCACCGAAGCCGAGTGGCTTGCGCGTCGGTTTAGAGAGTTTCATTTTGGTTGTGAATAATAACATGTCCGGATTTTTTAACTATAATTTCAGCTTATGTAAATTTATCCTTAACATATTATGCTCTCAAACCTTCCTCATGAATTATATTCATCAAGGAAAAACACAAGGAAATTCTGATAACACTTTTTTCATTTACCATCTATAGCCACCGCTAAGGTTCACATCGAGCTGTATTCGTGACCTACACACGTATCCCTATTTATCCCGTTCTATTTGAATTCTTCGTAAACACATTCAAGGAATTGCCAATTTCCAAGAATATACAAAGGTCACGAAGGTTAAAAATCGAGGTCGTAACACAATAATAAGGAAAAACAGAGGTCAGTGTAGGAGCTCCACAAAGCAGCGGTTAGCGAATTCATTGTGATATTGGAAGCATCTTTCTAAAAGGCTGACCAAAATTTCATTATCTCGAATCCCTCCAGATTTCTTCTGAAGGAATTTTGCATATGTACGTCCACCAATCCGCTGGTCTTCTCAATTGATTTCATCCATAGGAAAGGTTTGTAATAGAATTGAATACCTTAGCTGCGGTGCCACCGTCGAGCTGATTGAGACAGTGGGCGAGGTGAGCCTGGTCCAACCACGGGCGGCCGTCTTCTGTGACCGAGTGGAACAAGTGGTCGCGGAATAACTTCAACATGTAACGGTCACCGGTCTCCGACCAGGACGCGTCCAAATTCAGCCTGATCAAATTTACCACTTTTATAATATGCACCTTGAGGTTACATCACACTTACACAGAGAGAATTATGTTTTGTCTGTTTAAAGTGGACAGTCAGAGACTTCTTAATTTTAATTGTCAACAGAAGACGCCAGTTCCAGGTGTCGCCATCTTTGAGGTTCAGGATTCAATAGGAAATATACTTCAGTTCCTGTTCTAATCTTTACATGAAAAAATTTACAGACAGTCTAAAATTTTGATTCTAAAATTTCGACAGCTCACTAGACTGTGACGTCAGAGTCTAAGCGTGGTGCGAGCGTGACAAGGACAAAAGGGTTACCACAAAATTTTACATTAATCAATACTAATATTATAAAGAGGAAAGAAATGATTGTTTGTTTTGAACATAGATAACTAAAAACGGTAAATAAAAGGATGAAAATGGGAGTGGAAGTTTTGTATAGTGGAATTAAGTCGTTACCATAGTAACCATTGTTTACGATCCAATTTGTCATTGTAATTATATCCGCATTATGAAATTATCTAAATGCTTTAATAATTTGGATTTAAATTTATTTTAGGCTACTTTTTTTCCCACTTAACAGTTCCATTAGCCCATCAGAAGTCGTCGAACGGCTGATATGATGATGATGATGAAACAGTTCCCTAGGGACCAAGCTGACGAAAAGCTAGTTTGTATATAAAATGTTTATTGCTCCGGTTTCTAATCTAAATGGTCTCGGTACTTTCGTTGTTTCAGATTCCAGATCACAACACAAGGGGTCCTGCTACTTAACCCGATATCTGAGCAACGTATATGAGGTTGTGTTAGTAGTGTGACGAGTGTAATGTGTTCTGTCTCACTCGGGTCTCTCGTTGACCACGCCCAATTTGATCAGTATACGTAACAGACGACCGTTGTCGATCTCGTGCGCGAGTTGCTCCTCGAATGCGTCTGCTCGTCGCTCCAGTGCTTCCACCTACATAAATAAAATGTATATAAGTATGCTACAGATTTTGGAAAAAAAAATACAGCCAGTCAAACTAACACCAAAAAAACAAAAGTTGGCAAATACGCAAAAAAAATATGCCTGTCGATCATGTGAAGACCGAACTCTATAGCTGAAAAGAAAATTGAACCACCATCAGCTACATACAATGTATATTTAGAAGACGAGATGTCTCGATTTCTGTTTGAGCATCCATTGTCATAAATACCTGCGTGTAAAAGCGTGCACCAATCATCGGCATAAGATCGGTCACAGACCGTCGTGCTGGTGAACTGGACAGCAAGTACCTGGCAGAGGAAGGGCTAGCCTTTGTTAATTCTCTTCATAAAACTATGTATTTACAGCTTAAGAACAGGTTTTTATTCCTGTACAGTTATATTAATTATGAGCACATTTTTTTTTTCTTTTTATAAATCGATCGAAGCACACGAATACGCGACCAATCTCTGATAATCAAACTAAACAAGGAAATATCGGACCAGGTACATTATTCATATATGTAAAGTCTTTCTATCTACCTTCGGCATTTGTCCTACTATGGATATGATTTTGTTCGCTACATTATTTTAATTTAGGCGTTCTTATTACACCTGGCACCTTTTTTATTTAAATATTGTTGATTTATTAAGAGTATGTCCCATACTAATTGAAGAAGTATGAAGTAAGATTTTGTGAATAAATTAGTCAAAGAAAAAAATTACAAAAACACCTAAACAATATATTACTTCACACAAAATTGGATAATAAAAAACCTATATTTGTAAATAGCTAATATAAAATAATATAAGCCGTGAATTCGAGTATTAAGTTTTTTTTTATTATGAATAAATATTAATAATTTTTTATTATGTATTATAGATTTTGTTTGCAATAACATGATAAAAAATGTAATACACCGTCTTAATAACTAATAAATATATCATAAATTGTTGTACCGAACAAAAAAATGATTTTATTTATGTTTTGACTTATTAATTGTAGGGCAGAACTTACAGGATAAGGTTCTTGAGGTCAGCGGAGTATGTGCGCGCCACTAACTCCATGGAGGCCGGCAAGTTGTCGCAGTGTATGGTGCGACAGGCGAGCGCCAGCGCCAGCCGACCCAGAGCCGTCAGGTCCTCTTGCTGCGCCTAACACAGGGACCAGTTTAACATGGTTACTCTTATCGGGGCCCTACTACTAAGATTCCGCTGTCCGTCTGTCACCAGGCTGTACCTCATTACCCGTGATAGTCAACAAATTAAAAAAAAAGATAAATATTGGACACCGACAGTACATACAATGGCCAAAATTCTCCTAAATCAATTTCTAAACTTAACCAAAAAAAAAACAATTTAATTTAGGATTTGTTTTTGTGTCATTCTGTAATCGAGTTGTCACTGTTATGATCTGATATCATCTCATATGGTACCTGTCCGATGTCTCCATTGTTGGGATGCAGTGCATCGGCGACACCACACCATGCGATCCTGACGCGGCATCCGTTCATCACAACTTTTGTAGGGTCCAGGCTCCTATGGGATGTGACCATCGTCATTACTATTTTGACTTAGGAGGCATACCAATTTTTTTTTATTAAAGGCGACGGAATCGATCCTATGCTGTCTAGTCTTACAATTGTTTTGGATTATTTTATTAATTTCCATTTGTTCTTCTTTAATTCACTGCTAGCATCTACAGAATGTCAGTTTAGTATTATTATATTGCGTATTCCGTTTTACGTGTAGTTTTTATTCTTTTAAATGTTTATGTGAAGTGAGTTGTTAGATAAATATCTATTCTATTCTTTATCAAACATGTTCACCCGACAGTTTTGTTCTAACAAAAAAGAAAAGGTTAACTTATTTGTAAAAAATAACCTTCGCTGTACCCAGTTTTATATTTCAATAACACAACGCAGTGTTTATGCTTAACTGTACTTTAAAGAAAAACTAGATATTAAAAAAAAAATGCTTCTGTGCGCAGTTTTACCCGTGTATAGGTAATTTAATTTCAAACTGGTGCCGTGAAATAATACCATACAAAAACATACATAAGAATTCACAAGAATCGTTATTCCACTCTGTGATATTAGCATATGTTAGCATATAATATTAAAGTACTATTTTTTTTTTTTTAATAAAAATTGTAAACGTTTCTACTTACGTAATAAGCTGAAAATCCAAAAATAACAAAAACATCTGTTTACGCCGGGTTCAATGACACGTCGACAAACAATATTATTCACGCGAAAGCATCTCAAGTCATCCATTTCCGATAATAAATGGCAGATTCTTTTTTTTTAAATTTCAAATGCGCCCACACCTTGGCTTGTGACGTCAATAGCAGTCCTCATTATACTGTTGCAGATTTAAGTTCACACAAACGAAGGTTAACGTTGCGATTTTCGTGAAAACAATATTATACAGGGTGACTCAAAAATACGAAAATACTATACGATAAACAACTTTATGAATAATTGAGCTGTTTATAAGTACGATGTGTACGGTGCTGTGAGTTCTAGATAGTAATGGCTATAGCATTATTTTAACTTTAGCATCTATTTATTTTCAAAATAATAGAGAACCCATATCAACAATTTTTTTGAGAATATTTTTAAATGAAAGTATACGGGTATACCAAAGTTACAGTGGCACTAAAAGCAGACACATTGGTATGACGTGACAGGTTATAGATTGTTATTTAATGTCACGTGACAAGGAGTTTATAAATACCTATTGATTTTATTTCGCAAAAATTAACTTCGTAATAACGCGAAAACAAATAGAAAGGGCATTTTTTTTAAACATAACCAAAACTTATTATGGAATGAGAGAAATCAGATATATTTATTTTTAGTGAAATTAGGTTTACTTATTATGTTTGATAAATTTTGCATTCATAATGCATGTGTATTTTATGGTTTGACAGGACTTTGTGGGTTGGATAATTTAGTATACTGCACAAACTTTTACTATGCGACAAACACTGCATTCATGAAAAATTGTCAGCTGTTTCATACTGCCAACGATTGTAAGTAACACAGTTTTGTACGAAACAGCTGATAAATTTTTCGTGAATTCAGTGTTGCTCTCATAGTAAACGTTGTTCAGTTTACTTAACTAATCCACCCCATTAAATCCTAGCATATAATAATATGACACCTCATTAACGTAATGTGAATATTAAAAATTCAGGAGTAATAAATAATGAATTACTTTAAACAATTGGCTTCAGCTTATAATTTATCTCTTCATTTTTATTGAAGTAACAGTGCCTTGGTACAAAATTTTAGGCATGTGTACCTGCACGCGAGTCCTGCCGTGTGTATGGCTCGCAGGGCGGCCGTGAGCTGCACCAGTAGACTCCAGAGCACCGCCTCCGGCAACAGGGCGCCGCACGCAACCGCACGGAGCATTGCGTTTTTCTAATGCAAATCGATAAAAAAAAACAACAAATCTAAAGTAAAATCACTAACAACAACACCATCTTACTTTCGTTACTAGCGTTTGTTTTTTTATGAATGTTCTGGCAATGTTATATCTAAAAAAGGGTGCAAATATATGATTCACTTTGTAGTCAAGGCTAAAGCTTGAAAAATGTTAAATAATTATGATGGTGTGAGAGTAATTAATTAAAAATAGTTTTTGACTCTATCTTTGATGCACTCTGGGCCTCTCACTTGTCTGTTGATTTCATTTTGTTCTCCATTTTTCTTTACAGACTCATCGATTAATCCGTCGGGCGGGCTCACAAAGTAAGTCCTACCACAAGTCTCGTACTCACACTCAGTATTACACGATAGCGTTACTTTAAAAGGAGAAAAATTGACACGTGGGACATAAAATTCACAACTCGAAGCCTCGCAACAAGTGGAATCGATGGTATTAAAATAAATGAAATTTCTTTCGCACCTACACGAAGCTAGCCATCGAGGTTGTCTACGGTGTCCGCAAGTTGAGGACCTGCTCGCCATCGTTAAACATGTTGAATCGCATGTTTATCGCAAGATAATTTCACGAGTTCATTCCAAAGCGGCCGACATGAATCGTTATTTGGTTCAAAATGTTTTGTAAATACTGAACGTTGCGCGTCATGCGATAGATAGATTGCTGCATGTATGGTCAAAAGCTAGTGCCGTGGTTATGCACTCGAAGTGATGGCTCGATCGAGTGTAAGCGCATGTGAGTAGGGGGCTTAAGCAAGCCCAAAAGGTGTCTTTAGATCTCCCTAACTCTTACAAAAGCCTTTCATACTCAGCCCGAAGAATTTGTTTCCACGGAGTAGATTCAAAAACTACTAAACGGATTTATATATAAAAAAAAATACCAACGGGAAGTTGATGCAAGCAAAGTCGCAAAGCAGCTAGTGATACATGTATTATTGTGTCAGTGTAAAAGGCTGCATTTATCATTTTTGCGGTCGCATCCTGAGTGTGACACAGCCGCACCTTTTGCCAGCAAGCAAACAGCGCGGCAGAGCAATGGTTTTATAAAAGAAAGGTTTCATAGATATATCTCGATAATGAGGGATATGCCCGAGTATATATTTTTGTGATGCGCAAAAAACCATAAAAAAATTGCATCTGAAACAATAACACGCACTCTGCTGGTGTGTCATCTCAAGGTGAACTTTTAGCAATGTGTCATGTCTGAGTTTAAATGTAGACAAATAATTCAAATAAGTGTCCTTGTATCTTATCTTATTTATAACCAGCGATCGGATAATCGGATGCATGTTTACATGAAATTGCGATGTTCGCTGTTATGGAATGCATTTTTGTACACTGACTTTCTTTAAATTAACACTCATTACTCTTCCTCTTACACTCGGCTTACTCATAAATATTGTATTCTACTTTTATGTAAGTGTTATTTTAATTAAAATAAACCACTCAAAATTATTTCCAATCAATATACACGTTTTCTTGCCCCAAAATTATAAATTTTATTCTTTTTAATTCACGCGGAAACTCTATACACCATATTCATGACGTCATTCAGATATGTACGCAAAACAGACGCATAAAGTATATATATATTTAATAGTTAAAAGATGTCAATCAGACTGGAACAATGTCTTGTAACAATCTTGCTGCAAACTAAAAAATTTACCTAAGGTGTACAATAACAGTATCTGACGGAGGTTAGGTTCAATAATGACGTCACCTGGCGGGCATGTGTCAGGTCACGTGATACAAGGACAAATTTTCCGACTTTTAGTTTTACCATAATAAAAGACACTGATGCGATTTTATGACTCAAGGCAGAATATTTATGTTTATTTCAAAGTAAATTTAGTATTTCTGCAAATGTATGATGTATTTTTAACTATTTTTAAATTCGTTACTACGCCATGTTACCGACTAGTCTTAGATTTAGGAATATATATTTAAAAATATAGCCGCGTCCATGTAATTTGTCAAAAGGAATCCGATTATAACTGTTTATAACTCTTCATTATTCTTTTAATGCTGTAATAAGTCTTATATAGCACTTCAAGTGTAAAATAATATCATAAGTATACTTTTTTAAAATTATACTAAAAATATTTTTAAAACAATGAAAAAAACTTTTATCATACACTATAATTAAATAAAAGGATAATCGACACAATTTAGTGGTACAATCGACGGTACCGTGGTACCGTTTAGTGGTACAAACAGTGTTATATTATTATACACCCCTCAAGATATACCATGTGAAGAGATATATAGATTATATAATAAACAATTTTAAGTCAAGAATTATGTGTTTTAGATAAATTAATTATAATCAAAATAATATGTAACATAATAATTTGTATCCCTAAAAAGATTATTATTACCTGACAGGTGCGACATCTATGTACAATCGATGGAGATGTTAAATTCAATTTGATAATAGGACATTCGATACTGGATTGCGACAGACGATGGCGTTATAGGTCGGCGTTTGTGAGCACGTTGAGGGTATGTTCCGATATACACTGCGAGCATTGCGCAGTGGTCTTGCTGCTGAAAAATCCGTTTCGTTATGGACTGCCAGTACACTGCTACAGTACCCTAGGGAATTTATGACGTCATAAATTGCCGCCATATTTGTACTGTGAGCACTGGAGATTTCGAGGTAAGGTGCTCGCAGTGCTTTTGATCACGTGATCAGTCGAAACAGAATCAGAAAATGATAAGTTTCTAAATAAACAAAAAAAAATACTTACGTTTATTTATAAGATGGATTTAATTGATAAATATTTTTTTTATACAATTTTCCAATTTTCTTTTGAAAAGAGGGAATCTTTATATTTATTACAACCTTGCATTAACAAATTTGAAAATGGCGCCAAAAAATAGGATTAACAGTATACTGGACTGCGTTCCGTTTTAAAAAGTCACCAGTATAACTAGCTATAAAGGAACGGGCTTCCAGTATACTAAATTGACGTCATACTGTTCAGTGGTCGCAGTGTATATCGGAACATACCCTGAATCCATAGTGACAAACACGTACACACAGTAAGTACAAACATAAAGGAATGGAGGTGGTGAAAAGGGTTTTTTCTCAACAAAAAAAAATCGCCTGATGACGGGTAGGGCTTGTGTATACAAGATTTTCTTAATACCCAAAGACTAATACCGGAATCTTTTTCCAATACCGAAGTCCTAAAATTACGGTAAGAAGAGATTTTTTTTTATTGTGGTAATAAATTCAGCCGTGCACACTGGACGAATTATCTATTCTAATACATTGTAAGTAGGAGTATGATGACATTTCTTTGATCACATGTGAGTACGGAATAACTTAAAAATATTTTTGTTTAACTTAGTTTAGAGAGAAGTACAGTAGTACTTACTTCAGTACTAAAGCGATATGCAAAATTTCAGCTTATCTTATCAGGTTGACGGTAGCTGCTTTAAAATTCAGTTGCAATATTAGATTAATAATAGAAATATAGGAATACATACATTACAATTTAAGTCAAATATTGTAATACAAAATAAATTACATACTAATTTGATGTATCTTTTTTTACTTCGTTTGAAAAGTTAATCAACACCGTATTTGAGAATTTACCTACATAATTAAATAGATACCGAGACGAAACTAAAATCATCGATTCATTCGATTCGAAGTAATCTATACATATATAAAAGGAGATGTCCTGACTTACTGACTGACAGATAACGCACAGCCTAAACCGCTGGTCGTAGAAACTTGAAATTTGGAGAGAACATTCCTCTTAATACGTAGAGGTGTACTAAGAACGGATTTTTGGAAATTCCATCCCGAAGGGGGTCAAAAAGGGTGAGAAAGATTGTATGAAACTTCTTTGTTTATGGACTTATGTCTATGAAATTTGGTATTTGGGTAGTTTATAACCCTAGGCAGGTAATAAGTTTTATTTTATCCCGAAAACTAGCACTTATAAGGATAAAAATATTAAATTACATAGCGATGACAATTGGTGTTTATGTAATTTATAGCAAAACAATATATTTTAAATTTGTTTTTCTTGAAAATGTTCAAATGGAAGTAGGTAGTTTCATTTACGAAAGAAAAAAATATTAATCAATATTTTGAACTATACAGATGGCGTTAAGTATTCTACATCGCACTGTTTTGCTCAAGATTGAGTTTTAAAATAAATGTAGTAATAAATTTAAGCTTTGCTATACTAGATGGCGTTTATTCTAAATTAATCTGCGCTAAAGTTTCTTTTAAAATATTTTGCGTAGAACTTTTTTCCATCTGTATTTCAAATAGTATTCAATTGGATTAATATCTCTTAAGTTTCAAAGATAACTGAAACTGAAACATATTGGATATTTGTTGTTTTTTTTTTGTTGTAGTGTCTTCAAACTTAAACATCAAGGAAATTTCAACATCAGCTCGAAAAACAACAGCATTTTTGGAAAATATATGCTGCCCAAAGTAACTATACCACGCGGACGAAGTCGCGGGCAAAAGCTAGTACAATATAATTGGTAATAGCAATCAAATGTTTTAAAAGCTATCGCTTTCAGTATGTGCTAGTATTGGGTATAAATAGAAGCTTACAAATAAAAATCTTATTTTTTAGGGTTCTGTAGTCAACAAGATCTTTTTAAAATATGGGGAGAAGGGAAAACCAATTTTCGATTAGGAAAAATATTTTTTTATTTTTTTGTATCCGCCACTAAAGAAAGCTAAGTCTGTATTCAAATGTAAAATAGTCTTGGCTTTAGATTATATAATCTCCAGATACAGTGTTGGTACCCAAAAAATGAATACCACTAATAGTCTGTTGGTAAAACGTCCATTAGGGTGTAATGACGCCTTCATTGGGTCATTGTTCATGCTGTCACTTTTAAAATGCAATGGTTATGGAACTAATGGTTTCTTGAATGATCAAGAAACATAATAAAAATTTATTTATTTATTTATTTAGATATTAATAGCTAACGTTTGCTTTAGACCAGAGGTTCCCAATCAATTTATTCTCGTAGACCATTTTAAACAATTAACTGGTTTCGGGTTATAAAATTAACAGGGGTTCCCCCTGCTACTACATTTTTACCATATTCCCAAAATTATTAAATAAATAATAGATTTTCGTAGACCCCACTTACAACTTGTGAACCCCTATTTTTATTTCACGCCAACGTAGACTCCCGTTGAATCCCTTGTGGGGTCCACCTGGACCACTTAGGGAATCACTGCCTTAGACAATACCAAGACATTAGTATTGATCACTATCACAAGTCAAATAGTTGTAGTGTGAAATCCGCGGATATCTTACAAATTCAAACGAAAGCAACTTTCAATAAATACAAATTCGATTGCTATGGATATTGAAATTAGGCAATTAGCCCCTTGTGTTTTCACATATCAATTTAAAATAGCGAGGGCTAATTGTCTAATTTCACGTTATTGTTATTGTACCTGGTGTGTGTACGGTCTAGGTGCGTCCGGATCCGACGAGAACGGATCGTGGAATGCCGCCGACTCAGCGTTGACCGGTCCGTTGCCGGCGAGGTACTTGCTCATCAGCGTGGCGCACGCGGGGTGGTAGTCGTACACTAGCACCGTCGCTACAGTAACACGTTATCGGGATGTTAAGCGACATTCGCAATGGTCGGCCACAAGATGGGCGAGTGAAAGTTTATCGGTGCCGAATTCGATTGGTACGTTAAAGCCGTCGGTTCCAGCTGAGAAAATGTTACGGCCCCTTCTTTTTTAACTAAGACGAAAGACTGTGGCAAATGTGTGTATTATATGAAGATGGTCGTTACAATTTTAGACCCAAGTATAGATAGATACATGAATTTATAAGGTCACCTCACAAGAGTTGTTAAACAGTTGTTTCTGTTACAAATAGACTATCTTTTATTTTTCTACAACCAACTCCCACTATTATCAGGACGTAAATTGACACCATTTCATCCTTCTTAATTTAAATCAAGTAATGTGACTTAAACACGATGGCGATAGGTGACGCTGTGATTAGCGAATTGGGTCTGGGATGTGGATTTTAAGCAACATTTGTAAGGACCGCTTATATGAATGAATGTTTTGGAAGGAACGTTAAAGTCATAAGTCCCTGGTCTTGGCACTATATACAGTCGTTAGCACGCACCAATCTGCCGCACTGGACCACGTGCTTGTTTATAGTCCATTCTCCTTATACGCTACCATCCATAAGGAATGCCTGTGCCTCCACATTATAGTCTGATGACAAATTAATAGGCTAATGATGATGAGTGAAATGGTTGAGATAAAATAGCCGATAAAATAAACGTTTTCAAAAATAAAACAACTGAATATGGATATAACGTCGCTAAAATATCCTATGGCTAGGGCATAAAACTGCTCAAGGCGCTCGTGTTTGTAGGCATAATCTGTTTAGCTCTAATTATTTTAACTCATGCAGTAGCTGCGATTCGCGGTGTTCAAAAGCGCAAAATGTCGGACTACCTACTGCTGCCTAATGGTACCTAAGGAGTTACTATTGTGATTGACTAAATCACGGTTTTTCACTGGCGTACCAACATTCGTTTTTTATTTTATTGTAATTTTTTATGGGCATCGTTCTAAATTCATCGAGCCAGCCCTGCTGATGGTTAGAATTATAACTAGAGGAATTGGGCGGTCCCTCTGCAGGAATTACTACGTGTAAAGGAAGCATTAAGATTAGAAATTCATACACACGTAAAAGTTTAAAATATTTGTAATAATATTTCTAGGTGGATCGCCTGAGTATCAATGAAAATACGCTAGTTAGTAGCGAAAAAGAAGGTCCCGAGTAGCTCAGCAGTTAGAGCGGTCGCTCGGATTGCGAAACGTGCGTCGGTTCGGTTTTTCCAAGTATATTTCGTTAAGAATATTCTCGAATATAGTCCTGATCATATATAATATAAGAACATCTCACAGTGGTCTCCGAACGCTTTGGTGAAGAACACGTCGTGCAATCGCACAATGTTCGGATGGTCGACTTGCTTCCAGAGGTCGAGCCGCTTGGAGCCGGCGGCGGCGGCGAGGCCGTGCAGCCGCCGCAGCGCGTACTGCTCGCCGCTGTGCCGGTGCGTCACGCGGTACGAACTGGACATGGAGTGGGGCGGAGCGCCCTCCAGCGGGGTCAGCTCCGAGTACATCTCCACGTTCTCGGGTAAATCTGTTCGTTGCGATATAGTTAGGTAATATACGCCCCTAAACTACTGAACCGATCATATGCGGTGTACATAAACTACATTGAAAATGGGAGTGGAAGAATTAAAACGTTACCATAGTAACCATTGTTTACTATTCAATTTGTCATTGTAATTATATCCGTGTCATGATATGAAAAGACATTCAAATAAACAGTTCCCCAAGGACCACGCGGGCGGAGCCGTCGGCAGAAAGCTTGTACAATAAACTTTTAATGGAATAAGTAACATATCCTTTGTTGAGTAAACCTGTGGTCTGGCTTGACTTAGTCAAAGCATCGCTGTTTGGCTGTTCGATAGCATGCTCACAAATATTTCCAACCAAACGGCACGGCGATTCTTAAGTGAGACCATCTCTCTCTATCAATCGGCACCTTTGACCACTCGTGTAGAGGTGTGCCCACCGTGGATTTTATTTGGTCGGTCCATCGCATCAGTGATTGCCCACGTGGTATGGTCCCTTCTACCCTCCCTTTGACGACGAAACGTTCTATGGAGTCATTGTTACGCCTCGAGATATGTCCGAATGATATTACTCAGATATCGGCGCGGCGTAGAGTTTAAACTCCCCTGACAACCTCTTTAAAAACATGTGTTTCAAAAACGCTACTTAAAGTGAGAATTTTTAATTTCATAAGACTATCTCATAACAGTTTCTTTCATTTCATAATACTGATAATTACTAATAAAACTGTCACAAACTATTAAAAAAAATAGACATGTATTTTTAACCTGGAAACTGGCGGAGGTCGGTCTGTAGGAACACATCCTCGTTTCGTTGATAGATCTCAGAGCGTATCGTTTCCGGCATGTAGAAGGATGCGGCCAGACCTGTGGTAACAGAAACATCGTATGATCAATTCAACAGCACTATAAAAATTATTACATGTAGGATAGTCTAATTTTCCTTACTTTAGATAAAAGGTAATCAAATGCGTCTTGAATTCTGTAATGAATGATTGCCTGTGAATTAAATTTTTTATATATGTTGACTAAGTTTAATTGCTTTATTTTATTAGTTTCAGTCACATTCAATTCATTAATCAACACATTCTTCATGAACTTTCTCTGGCTAATAATATATCATAAATCTTATATGAGAAGATTTTGTTCTTTTCTGATATTCAACGCGAAAGTAGATGGATGCAGAAGCCGAAAAGGCCACACACCTTTCACGATCAAATCGATCAGGTGATGTCAGAAGCTCAGAAGGTGATGTCAGAAGTCATAAAAACCGGCGAGTATATATGGAAAGAGTAATGAAAGTGGATGATGCGAGAGAAGTATGTAAGGACCGTACATTGTGGCGTTCGGTCCTCTCTGCCTACTCAGGCTTAGGGTTACGGCGTTAAGATATAGACAGAAGTTATATACTGTCATGTAAATAGAAATACTACAAAGGTATAATTCGGCTGAATATAAATAGAGAAAGAGATGCCGTATACGCCAATTACCGAGTAGCAAACGAATATTTCTATATATTTTATAAAGCGCCTATATTATAATGAAAATATGAAAAATGACAAAAATAAGTTAAGTAAACTATTTTTTTATAATTTTTTATTACATCGATATACTTAGATCATACGCTGGACCGTAGTTTCTCATTAAATTTTAGTTGGATTTAAATATATTTTTACTAAAGTAAGATATATAATTATGTGTCAATAAAACGACTTCGGCTAATATGAAGTCACTTTCCATTACAATATTAGAAAGTAAATACAATAAAGTTAAAATATCTAACCCATGCCTTTTTGTCATTTAGATATTCCTTAACGGTATAATACCCTTTACTTTGTAGACAATTTTTAATATGACTTTTAAAATGATTTATTGGCAAATCTAATACATCACTGGGGATCTTATTAAAGTATTGTATACCTTGACCCATGAAAGAACCTAATACCTTTTGTAACCTGTTAGAAAGCATTACTAGCTTGTTTTTGTCGGCACAGATGACTAAGAACGAGTTTTAAAAATATATATATAATTAATTTCGAATTGCAACATTCATATGAATGTAGGAAAGATGATGATGGAGCCGAAAGTAGCCATGGGACCCTCATGTCATTAAACGAAGCAATTCTATCAAATCTGGACAAAGACGTCAGAGACAATATCCAGGATCTGATGAAGGAAATGGAAGGTAGCAATATTTACATTTCATATAATATATATTGTTATGTAAACATTTTGTATTATTAAGTAACAATTTTGGATATAAATAAGCTTTTTGATTTAACATTAAATATCAAAACTGTAAAACTATGATATCTGGAAACTTTCACACCCAGTCGGTATTTTCAAGAGCTGTTGTGCACAGCCTGTACACAAATTCACATGTGATCATCATCATCATCAGCCCTTTTACGTCCCCACTGCAGGGGCTCAGGCCTTCCTTATGGATGGCTAAGGAGGATGGGCCATGACCCTCCACGCTGGCCCAATGCGGATTGGAGGGTCACATGTGATAATGGCAACAAATCGTGCGAAAATCACGCAACACGAGCAGTTCTTAATTAACTTCAGCCAGAAACACAACTACCTCGATGTTTTGAAAACAGACAAACAGTTCGCACACATAAAAAATTATTACAATAAATCGCAGCAGCAGCCAATAGCACTAAAACTATGACGTACACATACTGTGTTTGAACCGAAGCACAATAATGGGGACGAAACTAGCAAATTTATTTCAGTAAGGAGATTGAGACACTACGCTATTTATTATTATTTTTTTGTTACTAACTAGAGACTCGACAAAATCCTCGTCACGATCAATTTGTCTACAACAATAGATATATGATTTGAAATTTGGCAAATTATGTAGGATCGGTGCACTAGTAGCAAACCGGATAAGCAACATTTTAAAATGAATTTTACTTGAGACTCCATTATAGAGGGAAAAAAAAAATATGTGAAGAAAAACTTTACATTTTTTTACTCATTACTTAAAAAAGAAAAGTAAGTAAAGTGCTAAGTAGCTATGTGCTTAAGGTTGTAAATGAATTTTACATAGTTTTTACCCCACACTGTATAAAACGTTGGCATATTTTGAAGTTTAAGAAAATATTTTCAGTGAAAAATGTTTCGACGGCCGCAATGTTCTTAATGTTTTAAAAAATAAGTACAAAAAATTATTGCACAATTTTATGATCTAAAGTAAAGATTGATGGGTTCGATGGCGCAATGTTATTATGGTAGTTAGCGTATTTAGCGTAACAAATTTCGCAAGGGCTAATTACAGGACTTATTATTTCGTGCTACTCCATTTCGGAAGACGCGTTAAGCCGTTGATTCCGACTGCACCTGCATTCGTTAATAGTCGCTAAATCCGTACTGGGACCGAGTGGCGGGTTACGTACCGTTCTCTATTGGATTCCTATTGAGACCTGTATCCCAGCAGTGGGACGTTGATAGGCGTCAGTCTATCGTCAGATAGACATGATGTGATCAGATTGAATTAAGGGTATGGCACAACACTTATATCTTTGCTGCTGTGATGTAATAAATTGCGCTCAGAGGGCATACATTCACTAATAGAGAAAAAAAAAATCTGAAACTATTAATCAAATTCGCACAGGCGGATGAGTTATGAGTTTCGGTTTTCGGTTGCCTAATACGTCTTCATGGAAGAAAAATCAAACAAATTCTGTTCGATAAGATGTTTCCTAGTACATTGTATTTTTTTAACGTTATATATTTTTTATTACACTCAGCTCAGTTACGTAGTAACTGTAATTATGCTATAAAGAATCGACATAACAAAGGTACCACAACACTTATACCTGAGACACTATAAAATAGTAAATATTCCACTGAGAATCGAACCCAGGAGCACAGTGATGGCTACTTCTTGAAATCATTGTATGGGATATTCGGCTACCGAAGTATTCGACCTATTGGTCAAATAAATATATTGAAAAGTGACTGAATTTTACAATGTTAAAAATAAAATTTACATAGTCAAGAACGATTAGTTTTTTACTTGTAAAAATATTAAATAAAGAAATGATAAAAATATGAATAAAAAGCTGTGTTGGAATCCATAGTAATATCGCATGGTAGAGCAAAATATCTCTGAAAGTAGTCACGACAATTATAATGTTAACTTCGCATACAATATCGCGACTCGCACTTTTTGTCTGTAAGAGAGAATGGCCCAAATGTTAAAATTATATACAGCAAACTCTTTAACTTAATGAATCTACCCTTAGACTTATACGACACAGCACAAACCCTACACTTAATTTGCCATTAAAAAAAGCATAAAATCAAACATTTCATATGTATGTCATACATTTCAATTAAAGTTAAGAAATGTATCACATATTAGGTTGGGGAAAAAGTCTTATCACATTTTTTTTGGCTATTATACCGTTTATATCTGGCTGATTTTGGTATCAATAAAAAGTTTAAATTTCAAAGAAAATAACTCCGAATTCAAACTAGGAAAATGTGTGATTTTCATTTGTTTTTGTTTACTATCAAATTGAGTAAATCTAATGAAAAATTTCAATATATTTTCAAATTCTATTACAAAAAAGGTAAAAATGCAACACGATTAAAGGATTAGATGATGACAATTTATGTTATTAATTCGCAGTCTCAGATAATAATATTAGGGCGTCATATTCCTCACAACAAAAAATAAATTCGCCTAGTTAATTACGAATAGCTTCTTTTGTTACTTAAGCATATTATAGAGTCATTTTTTTCCCGCAGCTAAAAGAAAAACTAATGGTAGGAAGAAAACAGACTATTCAAAAGAGTTGTCGGGTCGCTGTGGCTGAGTGTGATCGTTAAAAAAGAACTATTCAGTCGCATTAAGCGTATCTGCAGTGCTATTCTGTTAACTGACTTGAACTTGATGTAGATATAACATATATGTAGATATATGTATAAAACGTATATGTGTGTATAAAACTTACTTCACAAGCTACTCCTACATAGCTGTTCTATAGCTGACCCTTTACGAATCCAGCCTTGTTGTGTAAACAGGGGTTAGAGGTTTTTGGTGTTTGTTAGTGACGATATCTCGTTTAATAGAAACAAGAGTTATAATTAGAATAAATCTAGAGGGGGCACGTTTTCGAGATATCAGCTATCAAAGGGTTTGCCCGGGTTGCACTACAACAAGCATTAACCAACTGCTATGAGTTATATCTCAGAAACGTGACATTTTATTATTGATATTAATTGTATATGTTATGTTAATAATAATGTATACAGATTGATATTAGAAAAAAAAATAGTATATGGTAATGTATCGTGCCTATTCAATGCAAACAAACAAATAAACTAGCGGCCTACCTCGACTTTGAACGGGTATTTTTTTTTATGTACGCATTCCTAACGTTTTTGAAAATATTCTTTCGCCTATGTCATCAGGGATAATGTAGGCTGAACTTCAGGTTATAGGAACACAGATTGGTTAGATTCGAAAGGGTTTACTTACATTGCCGTCTTCGTGGACACCAGAAGTTGTGCAAGTATCATTTAGTACGTAGGTGTTAAGAACGCTTAGTTACCTGGCTTTGCCATCCCGCTCATGTGCGTCGGGGTTCCCGAGTATATCTGCGAGGCGTATGGCGATGACACACCCACCACCGGCACACCAATGCACGAATCTGCACCTGTCAAGAGATATACTTTACGTCACCAGATGTATGGACAGCAGCTTATTTAAAAATTCACATTCCTCTTTATAATAAGAGTATAGATTATTGGGAAAAAAATATGTCGAGCAAATAAATTAAATCTCCTTTTCTAATACTCACTATATTGAATATTTTTATTTATATAGAAATTTAATATTTTTCGAATAACGTATTATATAAAAATATCAATGTCACTGAAAAGCATGATATGAAAACTCATTTTCAAAAAAAAAAAGAACTGACTTCAAACCTTAAAAAAGTGATGAATAATACTATTTCAAAAGAGTCTTATTCGAGAAAATGTTGTTGAAGTCTGGTGCCTATCATTTAACTAATAACTTACAAGAAACCTCCACCCAACTTCAACAGCATTTTCTTAAGTCACTTTTGGGATAAGATTTATCACTTTTTTATAGCAGTAATTAATATTAACTAATTCACATTGGGCACGCACGATTTAATCCATAGAAAAGCCTTTTGACCTAGCAGAGGAGTTATTAATAAGCTGTGATCAGATTTAACTATGGATATAGAAATATCCCATCTTTACAATAATATATGTATATATATATAATTATATATACACTTGAATAGACTACATATTTAAAAGTATATAGTGTAACATCAACTAAAGTGTTAATTTATTTATTTCCATGTAAATTTGTTTCAGTGCTATTAATAAACAAGGTTTAGCACCAGAGCTAAATTTGAAATTTTAGTATTAGTCCAGATTTATATTATACAGAGAATAAGCGAACCTTCAAGTAGTAAATATTACTCCCATAAAATATTATAATGGGTCAACTTTTGCTAAGTCACTATTTAATAATCTGAATTTTGAGTAATACTAAGTGCAGTCACAGCATAAATTTACTCCAATGCTAAATCTTGTTTATTAATAATACGTTTTGTGATTAATGCTGCCATAACAGTGTTTTTTTTATAGTTATTGTAGACGCAAATGTTAACAACTCTGTATGAAACAAAACAGATAAAAACAACCCCTGCTGTATAGTCTAGTATGTAACTAATTGAACTTCCTACAAGTGTCATTGAGTTGCAATTTATTGCTCTTGACATTCAATTATAGTTGATGCTGCCGCATAATATTGTGTGCCTGGAATTGATTTTGCTGAACATATACCTTGGCTAGCTACAAGTCTCACCAATTTGAACCCTAGCAGCTATTTAAATTGTCCATCATTGGACCAACACATAGAACAAGATGTTACAATTTATAGTTCAGTCAATAAACATATTCAACAAGACACTGACATGCAGAACAAAATGATAATGTACAATTTTTCACTTTAGAAATGCTTGCTGACATTCTAAACTGAAAAATATAATAGAAGTTAATAATATTAAGAGTACTGTTGAAATCCAAAATTACTGTTGTTATATTACTCTAGCCACAAAGGACAAGGAAAAAGTTTAAGCATAAAGATGTGGACTGACCCAATGAAGCTGAGGAATTAAGCCCCGTAGATGTGTTGACACTGTCAGAGTTGGTTGAGTAGAAGTATGTTGTACCACCTACATTTTCCTGGAATATGAAAACTAATTAATAACAACATTTGTGTCTTACATGCATGTTTTAAGTTGATGTCGTCTATAAAGTTCCAGATTTGATATCCAGTTGAATCAATGTAGAAAACGAGTTGATTATTTTTATTTTTATTTATAATAAAAGTCCATATTTCATACAAATTCAATCATGATGCAAGACAATGTAGTGAATATTCTCTATTATTGTTTTAAAAACATTAGCTTTTAGCTTTTGTTGCTGGTTTGTTTTCACTTATTAAAATATACTTAGCCTTACCTGATGAACTTGAGTATTTGGAACAACTGGCAAAGTAGATGGTGGGGAACTCTCTGGGGAGTCTGGGAGAATGTTTGTGGGGCTGTAGTAGTTTACCGGCACAAATTCTCCAATAAGGACCTGCTAGGTATTCCACATATTATAATTAAGTATAATTGAGTTTTGATAACAACTTTATAGGGGAATATGTGAGAGTACAACAAAACAATATAGAGGCTCACCTTTTTAATTGAAGTGGGGGATGACTCCAGGCTGAGTTTACCAAGAGCTTGGCTTAGAGACCTCGTCGGCGTCGAAGTACTTCGGTTCTATAAAAATAAAATAAATGAACCAGCTGCTGATGTTGACAGTAAATAAAAGAATATATTAATACCATACCATATATGTTGCCAACTTGGACTCCTGAGGCAGCCCATTGGGCGGAGAGTATTGTAGGAATATAGAGGGATCCATCGCGTCAACGGAGACACGGCCAGCTGACACCAACAACAGATATAAATGAGCGATGTATACTTGTACAACTAATAGCTATGTACGTTGCGTACGTGCGCTGCTACTCCACTTACCGTATATAATTTACATCAATATCCCATCCTCTTCTACGGCACCAGTCGCTTTATACATCACCCGAGATAACGGGCTCGGACATTTTCTCGCACCCTCAGCTGCGAGATATTTCGTGATGGGCAATCAAGCCTTACGCACTGTTGAACATCTCGTAACTAATCTCATGTTTATTACGAATCAGTGCGAATTTTTACTTTTCATTCAATCAATTCATTACAAAGATTATATCGTTACTTATTTATGAAATAACATCAATTTTTTTAACAAAAAATAACACGAAAGGGACACGAAGACAAGAATTTTATGAACGAACACACAATAGGTGAAGATACATAATAGTGATGTAGTAATTGTATAATATTGTTTAAATGCGAATAGTTGAATAATCGATTCTTTTTTTCAACAATAATTAACTTCAATTATCTTTTCTTGTCTCTGGTGCCACAACTTGCATCCTAAAACTCACAAAATAAAACTTTAATCCTTTTTTATACAAAAAAAATATAAGTAATAGTAGAAAACAGTGCAACCAAATAGGTATAAAAAGTTTATAAAAATATTGATATATCTGTTATTTTTTTGTTTTAAGGAAATCCAAAAAGTAAACAATTATAAAACCTAATTTAAATAAAATTACATTACCTATACATTTTGAAAAAAATCTGCCGCTAATAGATATGACAACTGATTTAAAAAAAAGAAATTCTATTCAGTCCGTCCGTCAGATAATAAAAAAAATATTAGATAGGTACGTATGTTTTTTCTTCCATGTTCAAAAGTAAATTATTTTTCAAAACTCAATAAACAACTCACATTCAATTTGTACTTTTTCGTATTTGTAATGATATCTAAGTTTCAAATTTCAGTTTTTTTATATGTTAGTTAAAAGAAACGGAAATGACCAGTGGCGTAGCGTGCCTTGGTGGGGCCCCGTATAAAAATTTGTTTTTTATACGGGGGCCCTTATGAAGGGTACAGATTTCTCACAAACGGAAAATATGTTAGAGGTTAGATATCAACCACAAAAGAGTTCTGTCTGTTTAGCTTCTAACAATCATAGATTTTTATGACAAGATGTCATAAGCTTTTTGTTTTTTCTATGGTATATGTAAAATATTAAGTGTTGTGTTTAAAAGTATCTTTTAAAGTAAATAAATTGTGTTTATAATTCAAGTGTCTGTTGTTGCCACTGTAGTTGCCACTGCATACTCTGTCAGACTGAGGTATAGCTGCTTATAATAGGTGATTGAGCCAGCACGGTGGAAAAGGCAGCCCAATAATGGATTTTACACAAGTAAAGCTTGGCAACCTTCAAGGAAAGGCAGATTGGGCAATGTGGAAATATAAAGTTATCCAAGTGCTTGATGGTATACCAGGGATGCTTGATATTGTGGAAGGTAATACCCATTTGCCAATCATTCCAGAAGGCGCAGGTGATGCTGAAAAGGCTTCTCATAACAAAGATGTAGCAGAATATAAGAAGTTACATAGCACTGCCATGATAATTATCACAACTAACTTAAGTAATGCCATTATAGAGAAGGTAATGCGCTTCAACAAAGCCAATGATGTATGGCAAGAATTGCACAGACTTTACTCAGGTAATTCTGAAGACAGAGCATACAGCGCGTGTCAGAAATTCTTTAACTACCAATACCAACCAGAAGATGACATGGCAACCCATATGTCAAAATTGAAAAACATTTGGAACGAGATAAATCTACAATTAAAAGAGAATCTTCCTGAGATTTTATTAATGATTAAAATTACTGATTCTCTTGATGACAGATACTCGGCCTTTAAGTCAAGTTGGCTACTGTTAAGTGCAAAGGAGAAAACGATTGAGACACTTACTGAGAAACTTTGTGCATTTGAAAGTTCACTAAAGACACCTTCTGAAGATAAAGAAGAAACACTCACTGTCAACAATTCGAACAACAGCTCGAAAACAAAAAAGAAACAGTGGAAATGCAATTACTGCAAAGAAAAAGGCCATGGAGTTAAGACCTGCCCTAAGTGGATTAAGGATGGAAGACCACCGAAACCCAGTAAATCAGGTCAAGTTCAAAACGTCACCTTGATGGCTTGCACCTTACAGTCAAGGAACGAAGATTTTTGGTATGTCGACAATGGCGCGACGTCACACGTCACAAATAATAAGGAGAATTTCATAAATTTCCAGAAATTCGATCGTCCTGATCACACGGTTACTACTGCCGATGGAACCATAATTCCTGCGTTAGGGAAAGGTTGTATCACAGTAAAATCTGAAATTACTGACGATAAAATCACCTTAAGTGATGTCTGGCTGGTTCCAAAACTAACCAAAAATTTATTTTCGATGTTGGCTGCTCAAGACAAATTGCCGAACAGTGTATTTACTTCTACGAATCGTGAATGCAAATTAACGGTTAATGGTCAAGTTATGCTTTCAGGTAGCCGCAAACCGAATGGTGGTTTGTATAAGCTCAAGCTTAAGGTCGTAAAGGGTGATAAAGAAAACCAAGTTAATGCAGTAACTGAAAACAATAAGCTTCAATTATATCATGAGCGCTTTGCGCACCAAAACAAAAGGCACGTGATTGAACTAGTCAAAAGGAAGCTAGGCATTCGCTTAAAGCCTGATGAGGTGCAATGTGAAGCATGTATCAATGGAAAGTCGCACAGATTGAAATTCGGAAAAAGGGTAAGAGCAGACACACCCGGTGAACTGATTCATATGGATGTATGCGGACCCTTCCCAAATAGTCGTCGCAAGTATAGATATTACGTGCTCTTTAAGGATGACTATTCAAGCTACCGTATTGTCCACTTCCTACGAAAAAAAATCTGAAGTGCAAGAGAAATTAAAGCAAATGTTACAAGAGGTAAAAACAGCGGGTCATACCGTAAAGACCGTTCTCAGTGACAACGGTGGAGAATTCGACAACGAAGCCGTACGTAAGGTATTACGAAGTCACGGTGTTCAGCAAAGGCTGACCATGCCCTACACACCGGAGCAGAACGGATGTTGTGAGCGTGAAAATAGAACGCTAGTAGAAGCAGCAAGAACAATGCTACACGCTCAAGACGGATTACCTGAATTTTTATGGGCAGAGCTCATAAACACTGCTGCATATGTACTAAACCGGACAGGTCCAACAAGAATTGAGGGAAAAGTTCCATATGAGCTATGGAATGGCAAAGAGCCAAAGATAACACACCTGCGAGTGATTGGCAGTACTTGCTTTGCACACGTACCCAAACAGCAACGCAAGAAGTTGGCTAAGAAAACCATCAAAGGTCGACTAATTGGATATGAACAAGATGATGGATTCAGGATCTGGACAGGGCAAGGTGCAATAAAATCAAGGGACGTAACGTTCCAAGAAAACGCCAAAATAAGGGCATTGCCAGAGAGCTCAAATAATACAGAACCTGAACGGATCCAGTTTGATCAAGAAGAACCCTCAATCATTAGATTGAAACTGAGAAGTCAGACGCCAACTGAGGACACGACGTCGATTAAATTACGGGGAGATAGACCGGTGACCACAGAAGTCGATGAGCAAGAAGATACTGACGTGACCTTGGAACAAGGGGAGAACCTTCAAACCTCAGAGCTAGGGGAGATTCCGCAGAGGGAAAGTTCTGCAGCGTCGCGAAACTACTCGATTCAAACTATTCCAACTGAGGGTGAAGCTATGTTAAGCGTTGACGAATCAGAAACAGAGCAGTTCCATGATACAACTGATGATTACATAGATGTAACAGAACCACATTATAACTTAAGAGACAGATCTCGATTGAGGCCACCTGTGAAACTTAACGACTATGTGACCTACGTGGACTGCTTTAACTGTGAATTTCCGGAGACGTTCAAAGAAGCTATTCAAGGGCCAGATAGTGTAGAATGGCGATCTGCTATGGAGAAGGAGATGAATTCTTTGAAAGAAAATAACGTCTGGACACTTACAAAGCTACCTCAAAATAGAAAGGCCCTACCATGCAAATGGGTTTTCAGAATAAAATATAACCCTGATGGAAGCGTTGATAAACACAAAGCGCGCCTTGTAATTAAAGGTTTCAAGCAGCGGAAAGGCATTGATTATGCTGAAACATACAGCCCAGTTGCCAGAATGGCAACGATACGAGCTCTGCTAAGCGTTGCTGCACAAGAAAACCTACACTTAGTGCAGTTTGATGTCACAACAGCCTTCCTAAATGGAAAATTAAATGAAGACCTTTACATGCAACAGCCAGACGGTTTTGACGATGGCTCCGGTCTTGTTTGCAAGCTCAACAGAAGCCTCTATGGCTTAAAGCAAGCACCAAGATGCTGGAATGTTTGCTTTGCTGAAATACTCATTGTCATGGGATTTAAACAGGCTGATGCTGATCCATGTCTATTTATAAAACAGATGGCAGGGAAGAAAGTCTTGCTAACGCTGTATGTAGACGATGGACTAGTGGCTGCAAGCGATGAGGAAACAGCAAACATTTTCTTGGAGGATCTGCAGAAACGCTTGAAGATTACAAGCAAACCGATCTCTTACTACCTAGGACTAGAGATTGAGAAATGGAAAGACGGTTCTATCTTCATAAGACAGGAGTCATACACCAAGAAGATTTTAGAACGTTTTCACATGTCGGATTGTAATTCGATCTCAACACCAATAGAAGGTAAACCATTGGAAGAAAACCAATCTGGAGGAAGTTTTCCTTACCGAGAGGCAGTCGGCGCTTTAGCATACCTGATGACTGGTACGCGACCAGATATTGCCTACGCAGTTGGAGTTGTGTCCAGAAAACTGGAGAATCCTGGAAAAGGGGACTGGCAAAGAGTGAAGAGGATCTTTAGATATTTAAAAGGCACTGTGAGCTATGGTATTAAGTATCACACAAGAACGCAACAAACAACAAAAGGCATTGTTGGATATAGTGATGCAGATCATGGTGGTGATGAGCAAACAGGACGTTCTACTACAGGAGTCGCTTGTCTCTTTGCTGAAGGCATCGTTTCCTGGCTTAGTCAGCGACAGCCATCTGTTGCTATTTCCACTACAGAAGCAGAAATTGTAGCTGCAAGTGAAGGTGCCCGAGAGCTAATGTGGCTTCAAAGGATTTTCGAATTTATAACCACATTAGACACGATTCCCAAGCTGTACGTAGACAATGAAGCTGCCATACGTTTAGCAAACAATCCAGAGTTTCATAAACGAACAAAGCACATTCGTATAAGACACTTCTTCGTCAGAGAAACTGTCCAAGAAGGATTAGTGAATGTTCAGAAAATAAGTTCAGCTTATCAACTGGCCGACATTATGACTAAACCTGTTCCGAAGCCTAGGCTCGTAAGAA